TTCTTGCCGACATTGGTAGCCCCGCCGTCTTGTCGTTTTCGGTCACACCCCCTCCCCCCGTCGTCCAAAAGCTGCTGTACGTGGGCGACCACATGTTCGCGGACATCTTGAGATCCAAGAGGACGCTGGGCTGGCGGACGTGCCTCATCGTCCCCGAGCTAGAGAGCGAAATGAACGCCAACCGAGAAAACCGAGATCTCCGGTGAGAAAATCGAGATGTCCGGTGCGGTTGTTATTTTCTGTCGGCAGAGCCCCTTCTAAACGCCGTTGGTCTGCTTGTTCAGCAGAGTTAGCTCACCACCTTGGGCGAAAGCGGTATAGCCTACATGCCGGGGTTGTCGCTGCTGTGCGTGCCCAAACTGGCCACGCACACCACGATTAAGACGTTGTCAATGCACCAACCAGGCCTCCGGCCTACAGCGATATGACAACTGCCGGTAGTTGGTGGGGGGTAGGACTGTAAACAGGATGAGTTTCAAGTGCACGCATCAGGAGTATGTATATGTCTTGACTACTGTAAATACTTCTTGCCGCTCCGCGCAGTTGTATTTGTTCGTTGTGTTGGACGCGCACGATGTCAATTGTTTTGTGAAGTCCCGAACGAGCAGCATGTGGAGAACCTGCAACGCGAGGAGTGCAAGCAAACGGATTTTGTCTCCGCTCATTCATGGCGGATGTTGTGCTCGCGTCTGTGCTGCTTGCTTCCCTGCACCCCCAGGGTGGAGGTGAACATGCTGAGGACGCTCCAGTACCACCTAGACACCCGTCTAGATGACGTGCGCCTTCAAGCTATGGTAAGCCATTCGCACAGACATCCCTTTTTGCAAGCTTCACGCCGAGATATGCATTTGGTATTGTGAAAAGAGCGTGCGAAACACCCAAGGCACACTTTTTCCTGTCACATCGAAATCCCTCTGGCGTGTACCCTGCTTCTTGGTCCGGCCACGCGCTGAACGCGCCGGCAACACAACCACCATCAACGTGAAGCTCTTCACGCTCAATCAATGGCCCTGGGAAAGCCACACCAAACGTCGAGTTTTACCGTGGCTTTGTCGTGCTATTCCGCTCACGCCAAAAGAAGACATGATCCCTGCGTTATCTACCTTCCTCAAGTGTGATGGCTCCGGCTGATACGTCAATTGTTTCACGAAATATGCCGGTACTATACTGATAGAGGCGACTGAGAATGACGTATTGTCGTTGGTCAGCCGGTTAGCGCGGCCGATGCAGACAGTACTGTAAAGACACACCCGCACCCACAGAGACTGAATTATTTTCATTGGTCAGCGAGTTAACGCGGTCGATGCTAAGAAGAAAGACCCACGCACACACATGCGCCAACTGACGTACCCTCTCGGCGGGCGTCGCTATTCTCGGGCCTTCCCTGTCTCCCGCTCGCCCAGGAGGAGGGGCCCGACTCGCCCGCGGCGGCAGAGCTGCCCAAGCTTGAAGAGGAACAGATGCAGCTCAAGTCTCTGCTGAGGGGCAACGGTCTCATGCTTCACTCCAAGTTCCACCCGGACTGGGGGCAGCTGTTCAAGTCCGGCTACCAGGACTCTCGGTTCGCCACCCAGGTGCCTTGTTGTACGGGTTTCGTTTCGCACTCCCGACGGTTTCGCGGTTCTTCTTGGACACTCCCGTGGCGGTGATGTGAAGCATTTGTTCTGTTTCCTGTCGAGGCATTTCCTTCTCTGTCGGTGGAAAAGCGAAAAAAACGTCACTTCGTGGGGAGGAAGCGTACGCTCATATTTTGCGTGCCTCATCGGTTACACCATTGATAACGCGTCCTCGATGAGGACACGTCACCTGGTGGGCGGTGTTGTTGGGTTTCGCCGTCGGCCGTAGAACACAGCAAGAACTCGCTTGCGGTGTAGGGTTGAGAGTATTTCGATTCTGTATTTTTTTGTGGTTGTGACGAGAGAGTTGATGCTGTGTTTCCTCTTTGAGGCGGTTCTTCTCTCTGCGTGGAACAACATGCGTCACTTTGTGGGCGGAGTCCAGTTCGGCTTTGTGTTGGTCCGCCGTACATAGCAGCAAACAGCACGTCGCTTTTATGATGCACTGGTGTGGCGTGCGAGATTTTTCCCTGTACGAGGAGTGCTTTCTTCCCTTTTTGGCTCCTTGGCGATTCAACATTTACTCGTTCCTCTTGCCCCGTCGTGGACCTTTGCGTGGCGTTGAACGGTGGCGCAGGTGGCGACCTACGCTTGCATCTACACCTCGAAGGCCAGTAACCTCGCAAGGGTGAGCAAGCTTGTACTTGTAGTAGATGTGACGCGTGAGAGGATGCCTCTTTCTTAAGTGCCTCTTTCTTAAGTGCCTCTTTCTTAAGTGCCTCTTTCTTGAGTGCCTCTTTCCCAGCACCAAGAATTCCACCAATGCCATGTCGACTTGTTTGCGTAGCGCAACAGCAGCACTCTCGAGTTATAGATATACGATGCGGTAGATCCGCCAACCAGCACGTGACCTTGTCAATCGGGGTTGATATGTGTCGTAAAGAAACCGGCTCTATGGCTTGCTACTGTGGATGCAATGGCTTTCGATACGAAACGGCCTAGTGAGCGGCACTACAAGGACAACAGCGATAGCAACAACTACACCGCGTGCCTTTTTTTTTTTGCGCTTACGGTGCAGGTGAGCACCCAGCGCTCGTTCCGTCCGGTCCGAGACGTCTCCGCCCACGACCTCATCCTTGAAGCAGCGGACTCCCCTAACGTGAGTTGTGGTTCGGCGTTGCAAGTACGCTATCTGCTCCACACTTTTTCGCCACCGTGGTGTTTTAACAATAAAGGATAAATGAACCATGGTTTGCGGATATGATATTCCCATCAACGGCATTCAAGCAAGAAGGGTTTCCTGTTTTAGCATTTCGTCGAGGTTATTGTTACCTCCTCCGCCGCGATTCGTTCCACCACGACGCTCGCTGTGCTATCCCTTTGTTTTGTATTTAATTTGCGTGTTGCCTTAACTCGTTTGTTCGCTCTGTCCTTGACGTCTCGTCCCTGCCTTTCGAACCTGGTCAACGTGTCGTGTGCTGACGGCGAAATCAACTCGTGGGTCGAGTCAACTTTCAGGACGAAATGGAAGCATTGAGACAGCGCGTTCAAAATCTCAAGACACCCCCCAGCTAAGAGGTCGCCTCACAAGAGACACCTCTTACTCCCTACAGCAGTCGTTTTTCGCTCCTGCAGGGCCAGCGCACCCCGATAACCCTGTTCGCTTCTGAGAGGTGACTAGTGCCTGGGATCGTGTGACCTAGCTCTTGATCGCGGCCCAGATGTGAAGAGATGAACGTTTTTGTGGTGCACACAAAGGGGGAAGTTTTGCATTTTTGCCCCAGAGCGGCCCCGCTAGCTAAATCGCGCACGAAAAAAAGTGTTGGTGGTGATTATCGGGGCAAGTGTTGGCTAACGCGAGGACCATGTAGGGTGGTACATGCCGAATTTTGGTGGTTCCCATTCCAGGTGAGTACAGTAGTACCGAACAACGGCACAATAGATCATTGGTATGACGTCTACGCTGGCATTCTCGTCTCTGGACAAAACCCGTCTGCTTTGGACTTGTCCTTCGTTGACGGTGGTTTCGTGGTGAGAGCATGAGATTCCTGTTCTTTTTTTCTCTTGGTTTGCCCGACATCGACTACGTAGGTTCTAGTGTAGGACGTTCACCTGTCCCTTATTGTACGGTCAGGAACTAACAATTTTTGTGACGTTGAGACTGTTCTTTTGCGTGTTTGGCTTGTTCTGTTGTAAGGAGGCTCTTGTTCGAGTTTGGCCAATATGCCCTTGCCTGGCGACACACGTTCGTGTGGCCTACGCTTAGGGTCATTACTCCCGTTTGCATGTTGTTGGACTTTGTTGAGCTGTGAAAGGAAGAGCAAACTATTAAACGGACCCAGAGTCCCTGCGTTGTGCTTGTACAATGCTGGGTTGGATATGTCAAAAGGTTAAGGTCGGGAGACGTCTTTCCAGCCTTCCTTGTCTTGTTCCAGGATGTATCCTTCTTGGTTGCTGTAATTTTAGTGCCATCAGGGGTCAGGACAAGGCTTACGTGATGGTGCAGGCGTTTGATTGCTACTACTGCTGTGCGGAGGTACGGATATGGGGTGCCATGATGTATGCAGGGAGGGTGGTGGCCACGATAAGCGCACGTCCACCTTTTTTGCGGGCTAAATGCCGCACCCCGTACCCATTGAGAGACATGCTTATGGGCCAGACTCGGAAGCTCGTCGCAGTGATGTACGGACCAGATGCTCAGCAGCATAGGCTAGGCTTCATGGACAAGTAGAGGCTCCGAAATGGCGACCATTGTTTTCATTCGCGGTTTCTACGAAGAAATTGAGTCCACCGACAACTACCTTCAAGCCGTGTTTTTCATTTCGCTTTTTGCCTGATCTGGCTGGATCACGTCGGAACCGATGTACCCACATTATCGACCATCCTCCATGCCGTACGCCAAGTAGTCAACCCTCGAGGTCTTCGTCACTCGACGACAACGCGATGGGTCTACACCGTGTGCATGCACCACACAATACCGCGCCCGCTCGCGGTGGAAACAAACATGAATATGTGCAGCCCAAAAACTAACACCACTCCTCTCAGACCAAGTAATAGGGCGGTATTAGATGCCACAAGCCACGATATCACACCCGGCGATATTTTTAGGGGCCCAAGCATTGTTACCGCGGGTACTACTGTTCGTGGGTCTGCGAACATTGGTTTGGATACATGTGCTGGATGATTTTGTGTCACGCAGACTGGCAAGATTACCGTTGGTAAGGGGCACCTCGATGATTCATGGGCCCCCTCTTTGCTGTGGGAGCCGCTCTCGTGTTGTTGGAGGCCCCGTGACGCGTTTTTTTTAGTGGATTGGACAAAATCGGGACGTCCCTGGGGTACAACGTGCGAAAATCTGGACGCCTTCTGAACGTGCCGCGGCGCGACGACGCACACACCCAATACCGCACGAAATCGCGCCACAGCGCCTCCACCCGCCGCGCACAAGGCGCGCCGACCCTCTCCAACCCTTTTTTTCCAGCTCAACATAAAACAGTGTGGACGCAGCCGCGTACAAAACCCTCTCCGCAGACCACCCGATTTTGTCCTCAAACCTGCAGGGTCGACCCCTACCCCGAGAAAAACATTATCTCCGACTCTATTTTGTCCATCTGACCACCTCTTTTGTGTTCACCACAGCCGGTTCGTGGGGAGATTGAACGCGGCCATCTCCCCGCAGCACCACCAGCCGATACCCGCAAAAGAGCCAGCAGCAAAAACACTCCGCAGCAAGCAAAAAAACACCGACCGACAACAACTTGACGCCCGCCGGCAAGCCATCACAACTGAAATCGACCGCCGAAAGAAAGATCCGACGCTGGGATCGCCGCTCTGCAGCGAACGGACATTCGCGGAAAACTTCCTCCGCTCTGCTCTCTCGCCTCTCGCCACTTCTCGCTCTCCCTCTCCCGCCTTCTTCAATAGTCCGAAATTTGGAAAGGGGAAGAAGGACGAAGAAGTCTGACTGGCCGCACACATACATACGTTGCGAGCAGCGCCCGCGGAGTTGCGCGCAGCCAGCACGAGCAAATAGGG